GCTTTAGATTCTCAGTGCTGTGCTTTAACCCGCTGCGCCACCAGGGAGGGCCCAGATTTCTTTTTACTAAACATCAGCTATTTGTAAATCTTGTTTTTCTCATATTCCCTATCACACATTCTTTTAATTATCTTTGATTCTGCTGCATCATCCACTGTTCTCCCACTGGCATGAAAATCCACTGTCACCTCTAGAATAATCACTGCTGATGAAGCAGTTGCTTATCTGACTGTTCTGTCAAGCTTGATGTTTGAAATCCACAGTAGTAGTGTTTCCTACCATTGTTAATCACAGGCCTCCTGGTTGAGACCATCTGTATTCCATGTAGCTCAACTTTGTACTTTAGGATTTGTGAAGGCACCCGATTTGAGGGACACTTTCTTTGGTTATTCAATTCATACTACCAAGTATCTCTGATATTAAAAGATAAGGGAACTTACAAAAAGATATGAAATAACTTCCAGAAATATCAGGTAACTTTCCATTACATCTCATGCCTCTCTTAGCAATAGTTTTTGTTTAAACTAATAGTGACAATTAAATATGGCAATATGCTTCAAAACGTAAATTTGTATTAAAATGTATACTTGGTAGTAATGGGCATTGTTTGAAAAGAAATGGCTTTTTATTTGGCCTGCAAAAGGCAGAAAAATGGTATACCTGTGCTTCCCATGAATGGTTTTTAAGAATTCAATCTTTCAAAAAGTATTAGCATTGTTTCTTTTGTATTGCACACATTAGCTTTCACCTGTATCTATCTAGTCCAGCAAAAATATGTCACTTTGATGGAAGTAAATAAAATGGTGCTAAAGTAATGGCCATTCATATGCCATCAATTTAAGAACAAGCTTGAAGTTATTTGGTGGTAATGAAATAGAGCCCCGTCAGCTATGATAAAGGCAACATTACATTGTCATTATTCTTACAAATAGATAGAACACAGTGTAATTATAATGATATGATAGCAGGTATTGGGTCAAGAGAACAAACATAAAGAGCATTATAAAGCTTGTGGAATATTTAAGCAAAAAGTAATGTACAATCTTGAGCCAAATGTGTTCATGAAGCAGGAAGGACAGGGTTTCATTTGTATGAAGTGATGTCTGACGTGTGTGGCTTAAGTTATTTGTACATAATAGCTGTCCAAATACTTATGTTCTACAAGGGAGCTCAGTGCCCAGAGCTGCAGAATTACTGAGTTCTGTTGTTCACCAGGTCTCCATGATCACGGACACACAATTCATTACCATCCAAAATTTTCTTTGTTTCCCATTAAAAACAAACAAAAAAACTGAGATTCATGGCTACCCTTGCTCTCTCCCTTACAACTAACCAACATCAGAGCTAGCACCTCAGCCTCTAGGGCAAAGGTTTCTCAGTTTAAATCCTGTACTGTAACTCATGTAGATAGATAGATAGATAGATAGATAGATAGATAGATAGATAGATAGATAGATAGATAGATAGATAGATAGATCTTCAATTGATTTAAACTTGGCCTCAGCTTCCATAACTACAATATTAGAAAGTACTTGAGTTTTTTTCTAAGGTTTTTATGCTTATTAAGTGAGTCTGTATAGAAAGTGTTTAGACTATTGCTTAGCATGTGATAACATTGAATTACACATTGTCAACTGTTAATTACCAACAATGTATGAAAATATATATTAAATATTCTCAATGGGATAAGTGCATATGCTTTATCTATGTGAAGTAATGTGATAAGGACCAAAGTCCAAACTTTAAGGAATTCAGAGATTTAGGACTCGTCTAGTTTTCTTCAAAGTTCTTCTCACATAGAATTAATTTACTACCAAATCACTAATATTCCAGAGACAAGATGTCTAGTCTCTGAGAGTATGAATCAACCTTACTTATCCCTGAACTTGAAGGCATCTAAGAATTATTCCTACTTAGTACTTTCAAGTGAATTCTTGTAATCATGGATGTTTTAGTTCTCTTGACAAATAAATGCACTCTTTCCCCCCTCTTTTAGTAGCTTTAACAAAATTAACCCATTTTTCCTTGAGTTCACTCTGTTCTAGCCACATTGTCCTCATCATCTGCTATTTTTAGCCACGTGTTCTACCCCCTTTGCACCCTGTTACCTCATCACACCCTGTTTCTGCTGTGTGGGATGCTCTCTGTTCATAAACTGTGGCTTACACCCTTTCATATTCCTGAGCCCATATGCTCAGGGGATTGTTCTCTTTCCAGAAAGATTGAATCCCTATATCATGCTCCTATAGAAAACTATTTTTCTTGTAACATTTGTCATAAATGCAATTGCATAATTAATTTCACAACAATAATGCAAGGGCATTATATTCACAAGTAACATAGTGATGAAACTATATAACTTGGTGCCTCATCAGTGAAAAAGAATAAAGAATGACTGGGAGAGACAAGTAGAAAGACAGAGAAACACAAACCTGTAAGTTCCATTCAATTACCCAGTTACTAAGGCTGTGACTATGGTCTAGAAGTACAGAGAAGATGACACAAGGTCCCTGCTCTTTCCTCAACTAGTCTTATTAACTATTTTTCTTTCATTATGAAATAGGATGCCAGCATTTGAACTTCTTTTTTCCAATGGATTAGATCCTTCACACAGCCAGCAACTTTTGTCTTGGTCTCAATGAAAAAAATAGAAAATAAATTGGTCCTAACCTCTAGGAAAACCAGTCGTGATGAATTCCTTGAGCTACTGTTGTTCCCTTTGGGAGGCACCTTCCTAGGGAGCATTCTTGGGTAATTTGGATTTTGTGCCATTTTTACCTCACTTGCCAATTGAGAACCTAATAGACCAAATGCAGCTCTCAATTTTCAGTATTTGTAATTGTGGCCTAAAATGCAAGGTCTATGAGAGCAGAAGCTACATCTGGCAATTTCATCACTCTATCCCTCACATGGAGCAAGATACCTTGATCATATTAGAGCTCAATAAATATTTGTTGAATAAATTATCATACTGCCAGTGTTCCCATGATCAGTTTACTTGGCAACATTACAGAGTGTAGACTGAAAACGACTAAAGTAAAACAAAATTTCAAATCCTTAAGTTTTATGTAGAACTTATTTAACATGGGTCTCTATAGAAACATATATTAAAATTGCAGAAAACTGAAAGCTGCACATGAAAAAACTCAGTGTATTTTAATGAAGACTTATAAGGCAACATTCTGTGCTTTCATTCCCTTTCTAAACCAACTCTCACTGAAAAGCTGACACCTTCCTTATCATTTTAGGTCGAATGAGCCGGACTCGATTTATCATTATGCCAACCCAAGGAGAAGGACGGCCATGCCCCACAGAGCTTACCCAGCAGAAAACCTGCCCAGTGACCCCTTGCTACAGCTGGGTCCTTGGCAACTGGTCTGCATGCAAATTGGAGGTAGGTGATAACCACACAGAGAAATGCTGCTCCATATGTCCAGAACACTTGTCTGGTCAAACCAATGGGTTGATGTAATTCATTTCCAGCACCATCAACCTAGCACAATATATTTTTATGCAACAGATAATAGAAAAAATAACCACCAAGTGATTTACTCTCACGCAGTGTGAGATTGCTAGGAAAATAGCCATCCATTAAACACTGATCAGAATAGTCTGGGACATGGGACTTTCAGTATCTTTGGCATTCTCAAGAATTGTTATTTTCTTGGCTTGTTAGAAGCCAAGCATTACTTAATTAATCAAAATTTGGGTGCGCTGAAAAATGTACATCCTCCGTGTAGACTTTCTTAAAGCGGCACATTTGAACTTAGACGAAATCTTGCATTGGAGCTGAAAACCAAAAGCATATGAAAGTTATATTTTCACATTACTACATGAACCAAGGTTACTACATTTTCCTCAATGATTACTTTTTTATTGGTCTGAAGTATAAATGCCTAGCATTTAAATGCCTAAGATCATCATATATCACATATGCAGGGCTTTTGTTGGATCAGCAAAAATCCTCTGCTGCATTTTCTCTCTGGCTTCTTGGGTAAGTTAAAGCACATTGACTTTTGCTGTTTTCTTATTTTACCCGATCATGTCTAAGTTCATATTCCAAAGCATAGTTTAATTAGGTAACAGTAATTTTGATTAAGTATTAAGGAACCTGCAGAGTAGGCTCAGAGATGTTTAGTGTTCTTGTCAGGATGACATTGTCGTGTGGCATCATTATCTTGCAGAAGCTAAATGCCCATGTATTATAAGTCTCCGAGGAACAAGAACGTGTGGTGCATTTGTTCTGTCTCTTTTATACAGAAAGTAAGGAAACCATGCTAATTAACTCAATAGTAATGCAACGACAAATAGGTATAGTTAGTCTCTCATCTAAAATCCTCCTTCCTAAACCTTCAGCAATTTTTAAATGCTGCATTTTAAGAAAATGGTGAGAATATTTCTCCTTACAATTGTGTAGTTATTGACAGAGTCCAGAAAAATAGGCTCAAGGAATTCAAGTACCCAGTGAGTGAAAAGGGAGAGAGAAGATGGAAAGGAGGGCAGGCAAGAGGACTGACAAACCCCATGCTTGAGTCTTCATAGTCAGACAACTTCTACTCAAGCATTCTCGCTGGTTTGCACTTTCCATTTATCCTCTCAGATGCCAGAAGCCTATATAATATGTATGTATTATATATAGATACCTGTCAACTTGTCCCATAGGAACATGGGAAGTGCCAAGTGTAATGTTTCGTTTTGCTATCGCATGCGGGCTTATGCAGGGACACAAGTGAGGCTTTGTGAGCATCTGTCATAGCAGTGCAGGTGGGTGCGGGGCGACCTGGTGTTAACCAGGCTTGAATGGAGTCCGCAGAGACCACGAGAACATGATCCATTTGTGTGGGGAGAAACTCCAGAAGCACCTCAGATGTTCAGATGAGGTTCATTCCATTCACCGACATTCCCAATCAGGAGGAAATGCTGGATTTAGACTTCTTCCAGGGAAATTTCTGAAATAATAGATTGTTTCCAAAGTCGGTACTTCATTCTGGACCACGCACCTTATGCAGACAGACTTGGCCATCATTCTTTCCCAGGGATTTGGAATGAATCAAAGCCGTTCAAAGATACTGTACTTAGGAACCCTTATCCACCACCTCTTACATCTTGAGGAGATCTCAGTGAGCAAGGGCAAAGGAGAACATGAATCTTTGATGTTTGAGTTTTTTCCCAGTGTTCATGCTACATTCCTGTTTTCCTAAAGCCTAAGTGGGGGCTCTCTGCAAGAGATAGCACGTTATCTTTACAGTGTGTTGCCTTTTCTCAAAGCATCTGGTTAGCTGAGTTTTTGACATCACTGATCAAATTACATGGGACCTTTGCCCACAAAGGAAGGTCACCTCTCAAAATATGCTTTTGTTCCACCTTGTCCTGTTGGCATCCTAACCTGCCAACTCCAGATAGGGACCTGGTTTGCTGATGGTGTTGATGCTATTTAGGTGATTGATTGCATCAAGAAGTCTCAAACCACAATACTTGGGTTTGCACAGTAGATGTGCCAGTTTTGCTAGTATATTATATAGGAAGACATTAGCAGCAAAAGAAAGTGTTTATCTTTTGGCTTCACTTTTTTTTTTTAAATATTTATTTATTTAATCATACAGAACTGGGGTATGGCCAGAGGTGCAAGGGTGGTGAGAGGATTCACCAGAGACAGAGTGGGGAGCAGAACATAACAGATTGACGCTGCTGAGGTGAGCAGCTGGTGGGTCAAGAGAGGTCTGCTGTGCCATGTGAGTCACCTCCCTGGCTGGGAATTGAACTCATGAAGTGGCTGCGACTAGCTTTGCAGTGCTGTGCTTTAACCTATTGCACCACCAGGGAGCGCCCTGGCTTCACTTTTTTAAGAGTCTCATGCTCTACGTACTGAGCTAGCCAGTCAACCCTCTTCACTTTTTTAAATGTTTTCTGACTCTAAGTTCTTCAACTGATTACAGTCACACACAGGTTATAAATCTGTTTACAATTCAAACTCTTTCTTGCCGGCCTAATTTTGGTTGAAATTCTACCACTGTTCCTGACTCAGCAATTTTGCCAAGTTTCAGAGTTTCCAGTTCTGTTTTTGGTATCATGGAGGTTGAAATAGTACCTATTTTTCAGGAGGGGGAGTGAGGTTTATATGGATTACAGAGTTCAGATGCAGTGCTCATTATGCAGTACCTGACATAAATTACGAGCTTAATAAATGTGGTTGCTATTTTAATTTTGATTAAAACTGATTATTAGCACCAGCTGCCAATCCACATCTGGCAGAGATGCTGACTCAGAGTATACAAAGTATCTGCTAATATCTGGACAACGGAGAACTTAAGAATCCTAGTTGTTGACATGCTTGTGTTAAGTTTTCTGGGTTGGTTTGACCTCACTGCTGTTTAAAGTCTCATGATTAAGGGGGGATGAATGTTCACTTTATGAATATTACTATCATTCAGATGCTGATTCCTTTTCCTATCATGTTAAAAGTTTCGGAGATTATGGTTGAAGGAGGATACATATTAGTAGCAAATTATTGTTTGTCTTGGTTTTTAAAATGATCCCTATGATTTCATGTTTCCTGTGAGATCTTCATCGATCATTTCCTGAAATGTTACACTAATGAGTTGCTTCCTCTGTTACCTGAGGTTCCAGATAGCAGTAATTTCAAATCTCATGTGATGCTGTAGCTTCAGACTGTTCTATAGCAAGGCATATACCTTTCACATGATGGTGTGCAGTGGCACCATCATCTGGAATAATAAGTTGTAAGATAAAATCCTTTCAAAAGAGGAATTTAACATACACCAGCTATTTCCCACTTCAAGGAGTTAACATTCACTTCAGTATTTGCTTTGAATGATAGTTAATTTTAAACTTCTACTTATTTCCCCAAATAATGCACTCAGGTTCAGAATTAGGGTGCATGTTTTGGCAATTTTACAACAGCTGAAAAACAGATTATGCAATTATGAGCTATTGATAAGTCAAGTATAGAATTGCCATCTTAGTAAACAAGTCATAATCATGTTAAAGCATCTCTAAAAGAGTATATGATGGCCCCAACTGATATGCTAAGATTCTTCCATGCCTAAAATTGCTACAAGACCTACAATTGCTACAAGTCACACCTGTCCTGAGACTTTCTTATGTCAAGAATTTTTCTTAGCATCTACCCTGTACCAGTAGTCTGTACAGAGTACCAGACCTCCAGTATTCTGAACTGACCTTGACACTCGCCTGCTGCTACCATGGTGCCTTGACCTGGTTGGTGCTCAGTAGGCCCATCAGCTTCTGATCACCTACCTGCTACATGCCTTGTGTCACCTCTACTCTCTTCGTCACTCCTTCCTATCACTTCAAGGGCCACAGCTCCAAGACATAGGCAATGCAGTTTCTGAGTCCTTTTGAAGGAAAAGGAACACAGAGATGAAACTGAATTTCCTGGTACATGGCAGTGTTGTCACTGCTACCTTATAATGGGTTGGGTCTTGCTTCTCTGACTGCAACAACAGAGCTGCAAAGCCCCTTTCTCCCAGTTAGGGGAGGAGCTACAGTGGTAGCTGAATGCTGACTGCTGGAGTAGGGGAAGCTGAGTGACACTCCTTGGAGAGTTAATACTCTCTGAGAGGGAAGTTGACCACAGAAAACTGGATCCAAGAAGGAATTGACATTTTAATGCCTCTCCCTTCTTCCACTCACCTCCATCATTGATGGGACTGAGTCCTGCTGATACACAGGACATGACTGGAAGATACTGTGGTTGACCAGCTGCATTTACTTGTGGAGTTGAGGCAAGTTTAGTGACATTGTTTCCCCTTTGTCCCTCCTTTGTTCTTTTACCTTCACGTTTGTCATCCCGGCATTTCATCTTCTTGCCACAATAGTTTTGCCCTCACCTATGTTTCATAGGTATTTATAGAAAAAAGAGCTCTGATGTAAAAGTTATCCAAATAATTAAATCCCTTTTTTTTTTCTTAAGTATGAGTACCTGAATAAAACTGAGGAGGAGAAAGCACTTCTGAGTAGCTGCCAAAAATGTTCTAGTAGGAAACCTTTCATCAGACAGATGGCTGAGCCAGATAGCCCCACGAGATTTCCAATTCTAAGCTGCTGTTTCTGTGAGACACCGTACAATTTTTTTCTAATTGTCTAGAATAATCTGAGTGGGATTTGTATAAAATATCTTCAAAGAACATTATTCAGCACAGAAGGTATGCTGGGAAAACAGCTTCTTATGGTAATAGAGAAAAACATTGTATTACTGGAAACCCTAACCTAATCCATATGAGAAAGTACTGAATTCTCTACAAAAGAAAAACAAGCCAAGTAAAAGAGAAATTTATGCCCTGTGGCTGAACATGCTTTCTTAGGGAGTGATTATGGATTAGGCCATTTTATCACATACACCTAGACAAGTTATGTATTTTTTCTTTTACAGCCAGTCCTGGCTGAGTTCCAAAATGAATCATCATATTCTGATTTCATAAATTATGAAGCATAAATTTGCCTTTATCCTTCAGCTTCTTCATCAGCTTTCTGAGAATTTCTTGGTGATACTGTATGTCAGCAATCCAGAGATCACTCTCAATGCAGAAATATGCAACTAGGGTTTTCTTGGGCAAGACGTGCTAGGAGTCAAAACTATAAACAGGATAGCTTTAGGGGTAATTCTAACAGTTATCTCTTATCTCACAGGGTGGAGACTGCGGGGAAGGAGTCCAGATCCGAAGCCTTTCCTGCATGGTCCATAATGGCTCCAGCACTCACACGGCTGTACGCGTAGATGACGCCCTGTGTGGAGACATGCCCTTCCAGAACAGCATCCTGAAGCAGCCCTGCTCTGTGCCTTGTCCAGGTATGCAAGTTTCTTCATTACTTTCTTCTACTTTTTCCTGCAGAAACTAGCTCATCAAATTTGAAGTTTTAAAATTGCAAAGTTAATTGAATTGAGCTTATCACTTTGGACTCTATCCACAACTTCAGGGGAGATAAAGCAAACCAGAGGAAAAAGACAGCACATGGAAATATAAGAGCTAAGTTTCAATCTTGTCACTGTTTTATTGGTGTTTTACATGGAACAGACTTTGAGCAATCGTAACTCCACCTAGAAAATGTGTTAATACCTGACCTGGCCATCTTTAGTACACTGGCCAGCACTCAAAGTGTTAACTTGGTCCTCCCTGGTGGCGCAACAGGTTAGGACACTGCACTGCAAGCTAGCTGCAGCCACTTTAGTGCGAGTTCGATCCCTAGTCCAGGAGGTGACCACATGGCACAGCAGACCTCTCCTGTCTAGCCTGCTGCTCCCCTCAGTGTACTTCGCTGATCTGCCTATTCTGTTCTCTGTTCTGTCTCTGGTGAATCCTGTCACCATCCCTGTACTGTTGGCATGTATCCCAGTTCTGTATGCAAGAATAAATAAATCTTAAAAAAAAAGTGTTAATTCACTGTGATGAGTCCCTGGGTGGTAGCAGGGTGGGAACAAGTAAGGCTATAGGATTATGAAAGCCCTCATTTAAATGGACAAGTCCTGTGTGTTTGTAAAGATGATCACTATTTACATTACATTTATATAACATTTTATTCCTCATAGCACAACTGAGTGTGTGTGACCTAATTTTAAGCTGACTTAATTTATCTTTACATAGCCTTATAATATGGCAGGAAGCAGACCTTTGTGTGTAAACTCATACACACACATGTTCACATATATTTACATACTTACACGTACATAAGTGTATATATTTAGATAATTACATACTCTTTGGGTCCAACATTATTCCACTTCAGTGACTGTCTTATTCCCTTTCTATGTTTTTTAAGACCATCTATTTTATATTATTCTGCTCTTTGAAAACTGAGTTACTATAATCTTTACATTACCCTTTTAAAATTTTTGTTATCACTAGCTGACATACAGTATTCTCGAGATAAGATTACTATAATTTGAAGCAAAGTAGTGGCAATCTCATTTCTGGCACTATCTTGCTAAACTAGATTACACCATAAATTACTTTATCATTTAGTACTGTCTAATTGGAAAATTGGTCCAAGTCAAGTGTGCAGTACCCAGAAATCGCCCACGTCACTGCACCACCGCAAATCTTCTCTGAACCCTGCCTGTGTAAATATGTAGATACAGCTTTCATGTTTCCTCTGCTCTGTGCTTCACACTCACCCAGGCGATTGTCATTTAACAAAGTGGTCAGAGTGGAGCACGTGTGAATTAACCTGCATTGACGGAAGAAGCTTCGAGACAATGGGCCGCCAGTCTAGGTCAAGGACATTTATAATTCAGTCTTTTGAGAACCAAGACAGCTGCCCCCAGCAGGTGCTGGAAACACGCCCTTGTACAGGTACTAAGAGAACTTTTCATCTCTTAAGCTCCCTTGAGTCATGTTTATATTATTTTTATATACAGAATAATAGAGCCACTTTACATCTACTTGCAGGAGGCAAATGTTACCAATACACATGGAAAGCAAGTCTTTGGAACAATAATGAACGAACTGTGTGGTGCCAGCGTTCAGACGGCATTAATGTCACAGGTAATCCTGCCAACGATGACTGTGGGCACTTCAAAAAGACCCGAGTTTTGCTGTCTGGGAGGCCAATTAGCTTAAAATTATAAACAAGAGGAGTGGTAATTAGCCTAATTAAATGATATTTTTAGCAAATTTCCATCAAATTTCACATCTTAGAATATAAACATACTATCTCAGACAAGTTAAGTAAAAATGTCCTTAATAGTCACAAGCTGAGATAAAAACTGAAGATGATCAATGCTAGCTTACAACAATGGTCTCTAAAGTTTTAAATCATGTAGCATCTCTATGTAAAAATTTTAAGGATATATTTCACCCTACCATATCCCTGTGCTGCTAATTGTATATTTAACACATACACAACTTATACATATTCTAGATTTTCGAAAACAGACACAATTTAACTTTCAAATATTTTAATAGTACAAAAATTACAGGTGCTATATTTGAAAGCTGTATTTGAATATGGTAGTCATGATTTTTTAACATCTAAATATAGACCAAACAAGGGTACCTCATTCATGACAGTAGATACAACTGATTCTGCAGATGGTCCTCTCAGTTACAAAGTTTTTTTGATGCTTGACTATTGGAGAAAAGTCAGTTTCCATGTTTCTACTTACTACTGTGACTGACAGAGTTTATCGCAAAGGTGGGAGAAATACTTTCTATGGGTATGGAAGAATTGTCAGCTCTGCTTATTTTTTGGTTTTGCACTGTTAGTATTACCTTTATACTTTAAACTGCCTTTCAATTTTGCATGTTTGGTAAAACTAAATATACTGTGAATCTTCGTACACAGGAACACAGATAGCATTGTATGCTAAGAATTAAACTGTTAAAGTCCTACTTTTACAAGACTGACCATTTGATGAACTCATGTTAACAGTACATTCTGCTAAGGATTATTAGAATTTACCTTTATTCTTAGTATTTACACAAAACGTGGCATATGCTATACAAATTCTAGTATTTGCTTCCTAGTTCCCTTCTTCCAAACATGAACAAATAACCTTGAAGATCATTGGTTTATAGTGGGGGTACCAACCTCCAAACACAACTGGTAGCAGCACTGCTTTGTGTTACTGTCACTAACACTCAAATTAGCAATTTCACACCTTGGTGCTAATTGTAGGGCTTGTAGTTATAATTCATTGTGAATTATTTGTTTTCTTTTCCAAGTAGCAGCAGAATTTAGCTGCTTCATTTTCAGGGAAAATATGCACCTGCCTGTTCTTCATTTTAGCTTATGCCCAAGCTTTTGCTAGCTGCAAAGTTAAACTGCAATTGGCTGAAAAGTACAAAAATACAAATATAGCCAATATAATAGAAATACAATCTAATTAGCATCTTCAGCTATCAACTTATTAGCTTAGTACCTGAATCTATAAAGGCGCTAGTAATGTGTGCATGGCTTTCATATTATAGAGATATATTTACATATCATAGAAGCATGTAGTTATTCAAAATTAGTTACTGAGCAAATACAATGCCAGCTACTATGACAACTCCTGGAGCTGTTGGAGATTGTTCTTTAGTGTGTGGATATGTATGTATATATTCACATGTTTACACACACATATAAAACTGTGTGTGATTGTGTGTTTGTGTTCTGGCTAGAATACATTAAAAATGTTAACTAAAGCATTTGATTTTATGAATTGATCAGTGGCATTCTATTAGCATTCAGTTAGAGTGTCTCATTGAGTATCCAGGAACTGGAGAAAAATGTATGTAAAAGGGGTCTTTGAGCAGATATATTTTTTCCTCTTAAACTTAAATTGAGATTTCCTCAATTCTTTTACTGATCCTGGCACTCACAAACTGCCCTGAAGCATAGCCGTTTGATATGAGGAGCTAGAACTATACTATAATCAGCTTCTGTTAGCAGAGCTTGCCACCCCAAAGAATCCACCTTGGGGTCAGCAAAAAACAAGTCTAGGCTACATACCAATTTTTTTTTTAATGATACTTTTACAAATGACCAGTGCCAGAGAGAGGGAAAAAATGTTTCAAATGTTTATCACAGAAGTCTCTCCAAATGATGGTGGGATTTCCTTTGTAGGAGGCTGCTCCCCTCAAGCACGTCCTGCTGCTATTCGGCAGTGCAACCCAGCCTGCAGAAAACCTTTCTCCTACTGTACACAGGTGAGTCTTGCTCCGGAGCTATCTACAGGCATTTACATTTTTGTGTTAAGCATTTACTGTTGGACATTTGCCAGTCTGCTCTAGCATAACAGTAGTTCTGTGTGTCCGTGATACCATCTAGAGGCAGTGGCAGGAGTAATCACAGCTATCATTTTTTTTTTTAATAAGGTTACATGGGTTTACAATATTAATTCAGAAGCAAAAAAAAAAAATTGACATGGTAAATGTCTTAAATATAATAATCTTATTATTCCTCAATGTCAATATATTAAAATTGTAAATGTTAAAAACCTCAAGGGAGTTGAAATATTAATATTCAATGTAAAAATTTATTTGCATGGTATAATCTGCCTTCATTTATCCAATTTATGTTAGCTCTGTTTATTAATAAATATTCTCAGTTTATTTACTTTTCTCTTCCTAGCCTTTAATATACCTAAACCAATTTGAATAAAATTATACATGAATGTTCATATTTTCTAATTGTTATGTAGCAAAATTAATTATGCTATGATTACCATGGTGTCAGCTGACTTTCGTTATTGTTAAATAAGTCATGTAGATCCCTATGGATAAAAATTATATATATATGTAATTATATATATTATACATTATTTAATATCTAATATTTTGTATACCTATCTATCTATCTATATATATATATATATATATATATATATATATATATATCTGTACAGTGAGTTCTGTCAATGACACTAAGCATGCAGTACATATGCGATTTCTTAAAAGTTATGTTCCGTAAGGAAACAACTGTCTTTTTATAGTGTGTTCTTTCGAAATATTAGTTGGTTAAAAATAAATCAAGAACTCAGTCCTATTTTATGGCTTTTCTATTTCAAGGTGGGTTCTTGTCTGAAGCAAAGTTAATGACTAAATGTACAGAGCAGATAGCTAGGAAGAGATCAGAAGAAATTTCATTGGCCTATATTCTACATACATAGAAATTGTGACTTGCTACTAACTTTCTAGATACCTTCTTTAATAAAACAAATATATTTTTTCCTTTGAACATTTTTGACTGGTCCCATATGTAACTGGTTACATTTCACTCTAATACAAATCTGCAAGGGTGACTTAATTACCAGCATGTACAGCTGTCTTAATTATTTCTCTCTGTAACTTCAGTTAAAGGCATTAATAATTGTTTTTATATAACATGCTACTTTCTTAAACTATGGGAAGTTATTAACTATCATATTTTTCCCCACCCTTCTTTGGTAGGTGATTGAGGCATCCTTAGTTTTAATATCTATTGTGTCTCAAAATCATGTCTTCAGTCAGCAATTGATTACCTAAATAAATCTGGCCGACTGATAAGTCTTACCACATGAGTGGTGACATGAGGCTAACATAACCCCTGTTGCTTTGCTTCTCGGTATTGAGAACAGAAAAGCTGCTGGGAGAGTTGAGGATAATTTGATTAAATACCTTATCTATATTCTTTTCTTCTTAGATTTTTAATACCTTTTATTGACAAGAATTGTAATTTCACATTTGGAAGCTCTAAGAATTATAACTCTCTAGAAAAAACTGATGATTTATTTAAGAGTTTACTTTAGAATTCAAAAAGATAAACTATTTAGTAGATTTTCATATGTTTGGCAAGTCTGTTGCTGAGAAATTTTAAAATTCCATGACACATCATACAAATGTTAAGTGATTCTGACTCTTAAAATGTTCTTTTTTTCATCTGCACAACTCACTGTGTAATTAGAAAAATATCTTTTATGCTGTAGGGTGGAGTCTGTGGTTGTGAAAAGGGTTATACGGAGATAATGAGATCAAATGGTTTCCTGGATTATTGCATGAAAGTACCTGGCTCTGAGGATAAAAAAGCTGATGTGAAAAACCTTTCCGGAAAAAACAGACCTGTGAATTCAAAAATCCATGATATTTTTAAAGGATGGTCTCTTCAACCCCTTGAACCAGGTGTGTTTCAGTTGCAAGAGTGAAAATTTTCTCCTGGGGGGATGCCATTCATATAGTGAGGAAAGCAGGAGAAAAGGAAGAGGCAGTATGATTCCACTCAAGGTTTCTCGAATGTGAAATGTGTGATAAACTGTTCCTTTTAGATATGCAGTGTTCATATAGGCAGTGTGTGTGCGAATCTGTAACCTCAGCCTAAGGCACAATGGATTAAGAAACACTAGAGAAGCTGTAAAGAACATTGGTCTCACAGACACACAGACTTTGTTGGCATCATGGCTCAAAATGTACTTGCTTTGTGTTTAGGAGTAATTTCTTCACCTCCCTGTATATATTTCCTCACCCATGAAGTCAGTCTAAAGGCCGCTGCCCTTCAGAATTGTCAGGTGAATTAGCTGTGCAAGCCCATAATGCTCAGGTACCAGTGGTTATTAAGGACATGAGGGACGTTTATTAGATGTTTTCTGTCTTACCTGTGGTCCCAGGCTGGCTATGTATCCTGAATAATCGCATTATGTTCTTGCAACTTAATAGGGTGTTATCGCCCCCATTTTAGAGATTAGGTATTTGAAGCTGGCAATGGAAACTAATTTGGTCAAGGCCACAGGACCAGACATTAGCAGAAAAAGTGTGAAAAGAATGTCATTAAAGCTTTTACATAGCACTAATCTCTGCTGCCCAGTCTGGGAAGTAGACAGAAAATTACGAGATCCTCTGTGCCTATTTTAAATCTCTCTCCTGGGAAATAAAATGCTTGGAATAACTGAGTAAAGCAGTATACCTAAAAGGAAATACAGAGGAGAAAGACAGTTTAAGTAAAATATAGTTGTCACTTGGGAACTTTCTTCCCAGGCCCTGTGTTTTTGCCATATCAAAAGTATACGTGCATAAAGCCAGAATAAGAGCCCAAGGAACCCAAGACCTAGAGGAAGAAACAAGATATACACCCCCAATTGACCTTTTAGGATGACCACAGTATCTATTCAACTCTGGACTTTGCTTTATGGCTTTGCATGACATGGATACAAAAATGTCTTTTTGAGTGTGTCTAAATTAGCAGATTTAATTTGAAAGAAGGATGATCTAAAATGTATTCAGGCTAACCCATTATTTCAGAAGTAGGGTGAGGTCCCCTGAAAAATGAGTCTTCAAATCCACAAATGAAAATGTAACTTTGGGGGCCTCACTAAAATATCAGCAATGCCATGTATAAGATAAACATGTTTCGGTGATGTATTTAGGCACACACTTATAAACACATACGCATATTTGCACATACAATATGGCATACATGTATGTGTATACATACACGTCTATTTGGGAAGAAAGAGTGACAATTGGACCAACCTTAGGAATAACTTTGACAATATCATACATTTTGACCTAAAATTTCCTAGGAATTCATCATACAAATATATACATATGCTAAAAGAGATATTTATATGATATTACATGGGGCTTATTATAAAGAATCCATAAGACAACCTAACTATAAATAGAATGATAAAACAATATGACAATTATACAATGTAGCTGATATTTTTACAAGTGAGATAAAGGTTGCCTTTATGAGCTGTCATGGAAATATTTCCAACATTAAGTGGCTGATATGCACGTCTTTAAGAGAGTTATTGCATGTATGTACTTAGATTCATAAGTATGTTAAAAAAAATTATGAAATGAGTTAAAAGGAAACTGGCAAGAATTTGTTCCCAAGTAAAGAACTGATAGTAAGAAAAATAAGCCTTTCTCTCAACCTCAATGTAAAAAATAATTAGTTTAGACATCATGCACCACATACATCTACACTAGGGACTTAATCACATTGGACTTTCCAACTACTGTATCTTTTTGTTGTAAGTATAATAAGATGAGAAGTGCATTTTTGCTCAGGGAAGACTTTTCTATGGCCAATGTGCCATAGAAAATCATCACTTCAGAATAGGGAATTTCATCATTAGTGGTTTAAAGAGATCAAAGCCTTGCTAAAAGTTTTATGACCATACCTATGCATCATTACTGCATTGAAAACTTGTTCTAGATCCTGATTGAAGCTTAAAAGTGTCTCCTAAGCAAAAACTTTTAATAAGTAGCTATATAATTGTGATTTTATTCCAAACAAGTCTTGTTGCAATAGCTTTAGATTTTTTTCATCCCATGGAAGCCTTAGAATAAGATGCTAATGTGTGGGGTTTAGATCCAGAGTTAATTACATTCATGTAGTATAATGAACTTGTATCTTCGTGTATTTGACTGGCTTTGTCAATCCAATTCTTAGTTAACTGTGTGTTCTTATGAAACAGAGCAAGATCCACTAAATTTCCAGAAGCTCAAATTTACATATGCTCATTTAGTAGTAATTAGGTGAATTGATTAGTTCAGTTATTTTTTTCACCAGAAATTATTTGGGAAGTCAAGTCACCAAGAATGGTCATTGTTATTTTGCATGTAAGAGTGTTCTCTTAATCTTTTTGGTCCTATTTATGTTGTGATACTCTTCAATTAAATGTATTAAGACTATAAATACATCAAACTATTTAAAAATAGCCTGTTAATTGTTAGGTTTGAAAAATCTCATGAAATCTATCTATCAACTATCACTTTTTTTTGACATTTGATCATATGAGTATTTCCATTTATATACAAGTCTTACAATTCAGATGAGAAATAAAGCTTTGTATGCTAAGTTTGTTATGTTATTTCTTTTAAACAGATGGCCGAGTGAAAATGTGGGTTTATGGCGTTTCAGGTGGCGGTTTTCTTATCATGATTTTCCTAGTATTTACTTCCTACCTTATTTGGTAAGTACTGAATAGTATTACATTTTTCTCACTATTTTTGTAGATGGTATATTTTACTAAAGGAAAACTTAGGATCATTGGCCAGCATTATAGGGCCTTTGAGCCCTACTGTAAGTAATTAAAAACAGAATTGTTGTTTTCATTTGAAGTACTGTTTATATATTTGATATTCAAATACTTTTACAAGGTATATCACACAAATTGTCCATTTTGATATTTTGACTTAGATAGTAGCTTTCAGCTTTGACTGTATTTTGGCAGCCTTCTTGCACATCTCAGTGAATGATTCTTGAATGTGGCCAGGAGCTCTGGATGTTGGGGGTAATTCTAATATGCAGCTAGGACAGGAGAGGTCTGCTGTGCCATGTCCATCACCTCTGGGGCGGGGATCAAACTCATGCTGAATTGGCTTTAGCTTCTTAGTGCTGTGCTTTAACCCGCTGTACCACCAGGGAGGGCCCTAGGAAAGAAAATTTAACTGTCAATTTCAGGAACCCCGTTTTCATAAAAGACAGGTTCTTGAAATTTTATTATTTTCAGAAAAGGATAGGTTGATTGTACAGAATGTTTTAGTTGATGAGCCACTCTTGAAACCAGATAGAAGTAGTAAATATATTTGAAAGTCTCCAAGTGTGTGTGTGCTGAGAATATTTTATTAGCTTCCTAAGCAGAATTTTCAAAAGATTATTTTCATGAGATCAAAGTGTTACTTTTCTCTCCAAATCAAGATATTCATATTCATCATCTGCCTCAGACTATTTCCTTCATAATTTTACTCAGGTTTTAATCTTGACTCATAGCTACCTTTTGTATATTTTGCCTCAAGTTCTATTTTCAGGACTACACAGGTTTTTTAATTCATGTTTTTGATCAGTGAAAGTTTAGTGAGAAAATAAAATGGTTTGAATTCTTTCTGCCACCTGTAGTGATAGAAAATGAATCACTAGAAATTGGATTCTTATCCAACTAATGTTTCTACAGTGTTGTAGCAAAAACTAACACCTTTAGTTATTGTGCACCCTATAATCAAATGATTTGATAAATTTAAATATTTATCTAGATCCTGTCTTAACAAATGTGAAGTTGAATTAGAGGTTCAAAAGCATTCAACCCCCAGAAAGGACTGAAAAAAAGTGGGAAGTTCTTAAACTGCAACTAAGGAAATGAAGGTTTGACAGCTGAGAAGCTGCAGCCAAGCAATGGCCCAATATATTGTAATTCCACTTCCAGCTAATCTGTCTATTAGCTTGTAAAAGCTTGGATATGTTCTAGCTGTTAAGTCACATCCCCAGTTATGATTCCCTCTTAAGTTAAATATCTAAGAGACCTAAAATTATCATTTAGTACTATCCATAAAATCTGCCTTCATACACTTCTCTATTCCTTTCCAACATCAAAAAGTATTCACTCTAATCTATTTCCTTACCAATAAATATTTATCGATGTGCCTTCTTAGGACTTTAGGCTCTAGGAATTACATACATTACTTATTTCTAGTGATAGAATTTCCTAAAGGATTCTTAATATAAAAGATCAATGAAATTTTCCCACTTCAATATCAAAATCACATAAATATTTATACCCATAATTTCTCATGTATTTCCCATTCTAATGTTTGGTTTTAATGCCTTCCACTGGGAGCAGCACAGTAGTTACATGTTGGGATTTATTACAAATGTCTCTTTCCTGCTGTCCATCCTGGTCACCCTCAAACTTAGGAGACCAGCACTCTCTAAAAGATACTTTCAAATTCACCTACTAATTCCCTAGAGAATCACATGTAGTACACAGGCCCAAAATCACTGAGAGGATTTCTCACTCAAGAAGTAAAAGCACTGCCTTCCTTAATAAGTATATTTGATTTGGATAAAACAGTACTTTTTCTGTTCTAATATTTAATCAACATACTTGGTCATCATTCCCATCAATAATCCAATGTTACATATTTCATAAAATGCAGACCTGTACAAAGTTCACATCCACTGTTTAGTTCAATAATTACTCTCACCCTCCTTTCCTCATATTCAGTCTTTCAATAAGTACTTCTTTGAATCTAATTTCATCATTAGCTATTGGCATTTTACCAGTTCCTTCTAAAAACTCCAATGCCTACATTTTCCTGGCCATACAGTGTGGAATTGACTATTCTGGTATTAGCATGTGTACATATCATCCTCCTTTACCAAACCCCAAGAACTCGGAGAAAATGAAATGTGTAATAATTAGGTATTATTGATAGGGATGAATAAGTGACTGGATAAATAATAATCAGGATTCTTCAAACCTTTACATAGGTTAATTTAGTAGGGCTCTTATTCTCATTTTGATAGTAAAGTGTCTATGTAAAAGTTAAATAGCTTATCCAAGGTCAACTTGGTAACATCAACTTCAGTTTTGCCTAAATTCAGTATGTTTTCTTTGCAGTGGTCTTTATCTCCTCTCTTCCCCTTGACTAGCTCCACAAAACCCTTTAGATTCCAAAAAGTACCTATACCTTTCACATTTTTAGACTCATCGTTTCCCAAGTAAAATAAGCTATAAATCTGGAACAAACCAACTGATATCAAAACACATACCATTTACTGTTACATATGAGCTCCCTATAGAATCCAAATAGATATTTTCACAACATCTACATCTACGTCTATTAAATAGCTTACAGAAGTGCTAGAGGATGACAGTTTTTTAGAGATTTTATGTTTTCTCTCCAAAATAAAAGGCTTAGGACAAAGAGAACTGTCATAATATGTCAGATCTTAGGTGCATACTTTAGATGAAAGCAATTTATAATAAATTTTGGAAGCACTTTTGAGAAAATACAGAAAAATTGTCTTCTCAAGGACCACTTTGTTCAGATACAACCCCTGGTCCATCTGCCATTAGTGTTCAGAGTTTTAATTATATTACTGATGCCCCAGTTCCCTTGACAACAAACATCCATGAGACTATTTAGTGGGCAGGATGATTGGATCAGCTGATAGTTAATCTAGACAGAGCACCCGGAAGTTACTATGATAATTATTCATTCTGCCTAAGTCAGAGAGTGACGTCCCAGCCCAGTGAGGATGAGGCCTCACAAGTACCTGTGTAAACAAGATATCTTCTTGCTTTCATCAAACTATTTAATCTCTACTGTCCTGGGTATTGGTCCTCATGGCTTGATTTCAAGGCTTTGAGTGGTGCCAGCAGCTTGCCTCAGCTTAGAATGAGCTCCCTTTTCTGGCTTTATCCTTTGCTAAAATGCAGATGACTAGAAGAGGTCACGGTAAGTTGTGTCAGTCAGTGATCTCTGAGAGCCAGGGACTATACCATGGTTTATTCCTGTGCTAACTCTGTAAGTGATGGTAGCTGTCAAGGGTGTCCCATTATGCAGAGTTATGAGGGAGCTTCTTGCCTCTACAGGAAGGAATAGTGTGATGGATTGAAGATGGCCATTGCGTGTACAAAATGATGTAGTGGTGGCCACACCACCAGGCGTTGTCAGTCTGGGTTTAGTATTACACCTTTGCTGATAGGAGTCAGGGAAATGATTTATAAAATTACTTAATTTCTAAAAGAAGACCTAAGAGATAAAGTGAGTTGGGGTCTCTAACAGCAATCCTTGTTCCTTGCTGTTGGCTTTACAGAGGGCAGACCTGCCACTCAGCACCTCTTCTTGGGGTTCTTTTTAAGGAATCAAAAAGCTTTATCAAGTCATAACTACCTAGCAAAATGTAGAACATTTAAGCTCTATAGAAGTTATGAAATCTCACAATACATAGTTGTGATTTTACTATCTGTCAATTGAGAGGTTAAAGATTTATAGTAAAATGTTCCTCGCCACATTCCAGAATTCATAACAATACCTCTGTAAAAATTTAAAGAGAATTTTTCAGGCCAAGCTCACAGAGGCTGATCAATTTTAAATGTCTCTCAGGCAAATTTAATAGTGTTGTTGCTTTATAATGAATGACCCAACCATCTCATTTCCCTTCTTAGCTCTCCTCTTTCTCATGGCAAATATGATTTAAGACTGAATTGTCCAAAATTGTGTAAGTTTCTATATTTCTCCCATTTCTTTTACTTTCCCCTCATGGGAGGGAAAAGATTCATATCATTTCAAATGAACTTCCTTATATATTGACATAGGATCAGTTTGTTTAGAACAATATTTCAAACTGGGTCCATTCGCTGAGAACAGCCTGGGCCCAGCAGTCAGTGTAACTAGAGCCACTGTGTGTGTGTAGATAGATAGAAGACAGATCATTCAATGTCACTCCATTAAATTCTTCAGATCAGCTTGTTTAGAACCTTATTCAAGCTGGGTCCATTGTCTAAGCTACAGCCGAACACAGCAGTGTAACTGGAACCACTATGTGTGTGTATATATTTAGATAAACAGAAAAAGAAAGGGGAGAGAAAAGAGAGAGGCACTGGAGAGGTGGGAGAGAGAGCAGAGAGAGAAAGAGATGTTACAGAAGGAGAGAAATGACCGAGAGAGAGGCGAGACAGACTGGAAAAACCTGAGACAACATGAGGGAGACAGGACAGATAGATAAGGAGATGGGGGGGGAAAGACTGGAGAATGGGAGAGGGAGAAACTGGAAAGATGGCAGAGAGAGAGACTCTAGAGATGGGAGAGAGATAGCAGATGGGAATGAGAGGGAAGAGATGGGGCAGATAGAGAGTGGAGAGACATGGGGTATGAGATAGATTAGAGGGAGAGAGAGAGACAGGGCAGACCAGAGAGATCAAAGAGATGGGAGAGACAGAGACTGGACAGATGGGGGGAGAGATGGGAGGTTGAGAGAGAGGGAGGGATAGAGACCAGAGAGAAAGATTGTAGAGTTTGGAGAGATGGGAGAGACTGGACAGAAGAGATGGAAAAGAAAGTGCGAGGGAGGGAGCAACAAGGGAGATGGGGGAGAGAGATACTGGATAGATGAGAGAGAGACTGGTGTGCTGAGATAGAAGGGAGAGCCAAGAGAGTTGGAAGAGACAGGAAAAGAGACTGGATAGAG